CCTGCCTCTGCCTCCCAAGTGCTGGGATTAAAGGCATGTGCCACCACCGCCTGGCACGCCTAAGGTTTTGTGCACGTGTGGGTAATGTCTGTGATGTTTCTCACAAGCACTCCCTGTAGTCAATATCTTTCTAATTTACTTCTGAAAGCCTGCAGAGTTTGAGGCTGTGCTGTAGTTGACTTAGCCAATGTCCAGCTGTTACTTATTCACCTCCGTCTAACTTTCCTGTGTATAAACGAGGCATGCAGAGAATGCCCCTCCTGCTTTTCTTTCTAATAATGTACTGGGTCAAGGCACACAATTTAAAAAGTTTTAATGAAAACATCTATGTAAGATTATCCTGCTACTTGTGATATATGAAGGCCGGGTTCTCACAGTCTCTGGAACACTGGGACCTTTTCTGCCTCTTTGTCAAATTATCATCAATGGCGGGGATGTCTGCCGGGTGGAGTCTTATTGGTAGGGCTTAACTTTGCACATCAACATAGGTGGCTAGAGATATGGCCTTTTTAGGTTTATTAAACATTTCTATTTCTTCATTTGAGGATTGCTTCTTCAAATTTATGGGTTTCTAATTTTGAAGTTTTAAGGGTTTTTTAGTTTCTTTTTTATTTTTTTATTATTTTTATTGAGCTATAATTTTTTTCCTATTCCTTTCCTTCCTCCCTTCTCCCCTTCCACCCTCTCCTTTGCTTTAAATTTTTTTTTTTTCTGTACAGGGTTTCTCTGTAGCTTTGGAGTCTGTCCTGGAACTAGCTTTTGTAGACCAGGCTGGCCTCAAACTCACAGAGATCCGCCAGCCTCTGCCTCCTGAGTGCTGGGATTAAAGGCGTGTGCCACCACCACCTGGCTTGCTTTAAGTTTTTAACAAAAGTTTCCAGTACCTTCCACAGTAGTTCCTCATGCGTGTGAGCCCATCTTTGTCTCCTAGATCCACTGCTATGTTCGAGTTTATTAGTTTATTTATTTTTATATACGGAGCAGGGTGATACCATGGTCTGGCATTACGTTTTTCTTTCCCCCAGTTGCTGGCCATTCATTTTGTCTCCATCGGTTAAATAAACCATCCCGGGATGGGGCTTAGAGCTCAGCAGGACAGAGCATCCCAAACTCAGGGCTTTGGGATGCAAAACTCTTGATGCTTGTGGCAGCTTGGGCAAAAGGGTAAGGGTGAAAGGCAATGGATTGTGAGGGAGAGGAGGCAGGAAGCCAGATCTATGAGGACCATCGTGTCTGTCATACTTTATAGGGGAAAAAAATCAACAGCAAAAATTACAGATGTATAGAGTCTGGGTATAGTCTGGATATAGTCTCTGTTTCTCTGGTGTTTTGTTAAATAATACATACACGTGGACATAAATTATACTTAACCTATGAATTATACACTTGCAGAAAGTTTAAAAGAACCATGAGGAAAAGGAGCCAGCCCACCACTTTCCGAAGAGACAAAGCCAACACCCGTGCAGTTTAGAATGGTCCCCTTTACATATGTGTTTTTGCTGCTTTTGAGTCAGTTTCCTTAACTGCCTTCTGGGACATCACCTAACTCTGGTTTTAAGTCGTCACCAGAAGGTTTTCCAGATGAACTCCCCACAGCTGTCTCTCTTTCTGATTCTGTGTGCACAGTGTCATTTTCTCCTTTTCAGTTGTTTAGACCAGTGGATTCTCTTGTCTTTTTACGCTCCTTGTAGATCCTTTGCTTATCATGTAAAGAGTTTCTTGGCCATCCCTAAGGATATGCGGTTGGTGCTTATGTGATTGGTGCATATTTCTCATTTCAGAAGAGTCGGGCTCTTTTCCTTATTGATTCTGCCCCACCCATTGCACCAGCTCTGTGCCTTTTATTGTCCCCGTTATCACGATGTTGGTATTTGTGCCGTGTTCCACTGTCTCCCACGTGACTGTAGCTGTCCACATTTGCTTTTTAATTCCGAGTTCACCTTTTATTATTCTCACAGAATATCATCTTCTTCCTTTCATGTAATCAGTCTGTGTTTTCCTCCAGTTGTGTGTGCCCCGTGAAGGTGAAGGCCCCTAAATATTCTTGGAGAAAACTCTTCAGAAATATCCTCCTGGCCATTTATTTTTTGTGGTGTGAGGACAGGGGCTGCTGTCTGTCTTTAGTGTTCAAGTAGTTCAGATTAGCAAAGTCACCGATGTCAGCTCTGAAAGCAGAGAGATGAGAAACGTCCTTTCCCTTAAGGGCATCGTGGCAACTGCCGAGCAGGCCTCTGCTTCCCCTAAAGGAGTCTATTGTACCCTCAAGTCAAGTTCTTCCTCACTGTTTGGAGTTATGTGTTAACTTTTCACTCGTCTATAATCTAAAAAAGACAGATTTGCCCCAAATGCTTTCCAAAACTTCTTGGATTCTTGTCGGATGGATTGCCTTACCTGGAAGTTTAGGATTTTACTCCTTGCGTTTTAACTCGGGGAGGTGGTTAATTAAAAAAAAAAAAATGTTCTTGACCAATTCAGTGCCCTAAGACTTGAGGACTCTGTCCACAAGGGTGGTTTGCTGCCTTTGGGCTTGGAGAAACATCAGAACCAAGAGCAGTTTGCCGAGTTTAGTTTCTTTTCTTTTTTTTTTTTTTTTTTTTTAAAAAACTTTATTTTATGTGCATTGGTGTGAGGTTGTCAGATCCCCTGGAACAGGAGTTACAGACAGTTGTGAGCTGCCATGTGGATGCTGGGAATTGAACCTGGGTCCTCTGGAAGAGCAGTCAGTGCTCTTAACCACTGAGCCATCTCTCTAGCCCGAGTTTAGTTTCTTATTTGGTCTGACAGCCCTCCCAGGGTTTGGTGAATAATATCAGGTTCTTATTAGTTTATTCTCACCAAATTATAATTGCTGTCTGTGTTCTGCCCCTTTAGCTGCTGTTTCTGAGACACCTGCCCACAGCCGTGAGTGGAGAGGAGTGGATTGTGGGTCCCTCCCTCTCTTACTGATGGCTCTGGGCAGAAGTCACGTTTACCTAGTCGCATGCTTCCTAGCCTCACTTTTGAAGGTGCTCAGTCTTCAAGCTTGTGCCCATGTGCAGTTTGTGACATCTGGTAGCATCACCCCTTAGTTTCAACATATTTTTTCCATTGGTCATTTCAGATGGCTTGGGACTGGGAAAAGAAAGATTCTGATGTCTACATAGATTGTTCTTTTAATTGAAACCCTGTGATCATTCTCTGGCCTCCCACCTTCATGTCTCTAGTCTTCTGATTTTTCTTCCTGCCACCAGATGGATTTTTTTCTAGACACATATTAATAACTTTGCTTTCCAGAGTTAAAAGCTCTGTGGGGTGTAGCTACAAATATTCTCCATTCTGCTGGTCCCCTTGGACCTGTTTCTCTCTGCCTGCCTGTTCCCAAAGCCACTTATGAAATAACCATTTTGAGACTTAATATTAATTACATACTCTTTGGCCTGTTAGCTCAGGCTTCTTATTAACTAACAATTACATCTTAAATTAACCCATTTCTATTTTGTATCTTATCTCGAGGCTTGTGGTTTGTTACCTCTTGCTTCTTGAGCAGCTACATGGCATCTGCCTGACTCCTTCTCTCCTCCTCTGTCTCGGCTTGGATTTCCTGCCTTACTATATTCTGCCCTGCCATAGGCCAAAGCAGCTTCTTTATTAACTAGTGCTAATAAAAGCTATTCCAAGCATACAGAGGGGAATCCCATATCAGTGGGGAGTATATCCACATATATATATGAATAACAATCTAAAGTCAATCTTATAGTCCATGAGCATGGGATACATTTGTATTTATTTATGTTTTAATTTCTGCCAGTGATGTTTTATAATTAAATCTATTCCTATCTGTTTTATTCTCTTGGGAA